AATGCAATGTAAGTGTGAGTGTGTGCGTGTGGAAAATAATAAAAATAAAATAAAATGTGATAATAAAAAAATTGCAGGGAAAATGTTGTGGCATGTTGGTTGCGTGTGTGTATGTGTGTGCGGCAATTACATGTTAAGCTATTATCGTCGCAAACATGCAACAGATGGAGTTGAACGGCGTTGACGCAATATGACCAATAAGCTCAAGGCGATGCCTAAGCTGCATGTTTGTATATATGTGTGTGTGTGAGTGCACTTGTGCAATAACAACAACTAGCTTGTGTAATAAATAAATAAGAAAATTGTGTACCAAAAAAAAAAAAATAATAATAATAAACACAGAAGTATAAAAACTTTAACCACTAAATTGTACATTTGCTTGCCAACAATAAGGTTAATGAAAACATTAACGGTGTACTTGAGAAATCACGCAATACTGACGCTCGTGAGTGCTGGAAAGTATGCTATATATTTAGACCTTTCAAGAGTTGATGTGTGCAAGATTTAAGTGATTTGTATTCTATTGCTTGTAGAAGATATGGTCTTGAAGCTATTACTGTGGAAGAAATATATACCATCTGATCAAATTTGACCCGTATTGAGCCATTTAGACTGCGCGCAAGCTGTTTCCGCAATTTTTTTTCCTAGGTTGATAGAAGCTTTTTTTATATTCGTGGTTTGATCGTCATCATCAAATTTTACTTAAGTTTTTTGGTTAGTCTCTTTTATCACAAACACCAGAGTTTGAGCAGCACAAACAATTCAGTCAAGGTCGTAAGTCATCGAAATCTTGCCTCGTGCGAGTTATCCATGACCATTTGTTAATTGACGATAAATTCGAAAATGTTAAAGCAACAGTGCTTGAAAATAGTCGTATCGTTATCAGAGAAATAGCAGACGATCTCAACATCTTTTATGGATGAACTCAACACATTTTTATTACTATTTTGGGTATGAAGCATGTCAATGCTAGGCTCATACCAAAAGATCTGAAACCCTTTTGCATTAACGACACCGAGTAGAGAACGCAAAAAATAAAGGGAGAACGTAGCTAAGGACTCTTCATTTATCGAGCGCATCATTACTGGTGACGAGATGTGGGTTTATGAAATGAGTCGAAATTGAAAAAATCAAAATTCGCTAAAGACACCGAGCGCCATCCCATCCATGCCATATAACAAGTGCATGGAATATTTCATAAATAAATGGGTGTATCGCTTATTATAATAATAAATATTTATAATAAAATATGTGAATATTTTTTTTGTCAGTCCGGGTCAAATTTGATCAGATGGCATATATGTATTTATTTATATTTTTTTAAATTTGTGAGGTAATCAGAAAATGTATATATATAATGCCTATTATGGATTTGTTCAATACATATAAGAAATACGAGCATATAGTATGAAATAAAAACCCAAGTAATTTTTCGGAATACAAAATATATACAAATTTTCAAATTAAAAGATAATTATGAATCCCCAACTTTCGGAGTTCATGCAGCCTCGTCCAAGATTTTTTCTTTCTCAATTATATGCTGTCAAAAAATAAAACAATTTATATTTACAAAATTTAAAATAAGAAGCAAAACTATAGCTGAAATTGACCACTCAGTAATTAGTGTGGCGTAAAAAATATTTCAAATATAACCCCGATCCATTTATTTTTTTTAAACACCAAATTATAAAATACTTTGCGTAATGAAAAAAGTAAAAAATTAAAGTACACTTAAGTTTCGGGACTACAAAATTCGAATCCCGAAATTTCGGGATCCCGATGCTCCATGTGGGATATTTAGAACACTACGTAAAATTGAAACAAGTAAAAAATTTACGAGTATTTCGGGACTACAAAATGCGATTCCCGAAAAATCGGCATCACGTTGTTGGAACTTTAAACAAAAAATATGTAATAAAACTAAATCGGTTATTTTCACACATTTTACTTAAATAATAATAGTTGTATGTCTAATTTATTTAGTTTTAAATTTTTATCTTTCGATTTCCTCCAGCTACAGTCTGCAAATTAAAACATTCCACATCACCTGTTCCAACCTACTTCATAACCGCTTGTTATTGTTGTTTATTTAAGTTTTATTGTTTTAGTGCCTTCAGAACGCAATGTGTGTTTTTATGCTAATTGTCCACTAGCCGCTTTAGCTGCAGCATATACATACATACATACATATGTATATAATAGTACAAAAGAAACCTCAAGGTACACGTATGTAAATATGCGTATGTGTGTGTGTGTAAGTGCACATATTAACGAGTACTTATTTGTGCATAGATTTATTGGTTGCTTTAAACGTTTTTCTTTTTGTTTTTGGATTTATTTTATCACCAACCATAATGCCGTGAATATTGCTGTTACTGTGTCTGTTGTTGTTGCTGCTGCTATTACTCGTGGTATTGACACTGTTCGTGCTTTGCATTTTCACTAGGCAATTACAAGTAGAAACAACAACAAAACAACGAAAAAAATCGAAAGAAGCAATGACAACAAACGACGCCAAGCAGTTCAAGTATCCTCTTTTTTATGTTGCGCACATCCGTTGACATGCGACAATAGTAGCAACAACAACTCCAACAGTGCATGCAAAAATATACAAAATAACAGCGCGCAACAGCTTGGAAGTCTCAACAATTGTGACAACAATTGACAATTGGCATTCGACAGCAATTGGCAGCGTCACAATGCTGCAGTGCTTCATACAAATGCATGTGTGTGTGTATGTTAATAGCTAAGTGTATAGGTTGACACGGGAAGATCCACCAAAAGACCCACCAAAGTTGTTAGCAGCATCAATTCTTATCGCATTGCGCACAAAATGCGTGTAGACACACACATATATACATATAATATATAAGCGCATAAAAATACATAATAATATATGTATATATGTACACACACATACACATGTATACACTGTGAGATTTATTTATTGTCAAGTATTTATTTATTGCTGCTTTGTTCACATAGTTGCTGCTGTTGCTGTCTTTACTATTATTATTGTTGTTGCTGCCTTTACTGTTATGGTATTATTATTGTTGTTGCTGTTGTTGTTACTATTGCGAATAATGACATGGAATTCATTTCGTTTTCATTTGACAGTTCATTCATGTCGATTTGGTAGTGATCTTCAATTGCCACTTTTGAGGTTGTCCGCCGCAATTTGTTGTCGCAAAATTTATGATTTCCAATTGCTGTTGGTTTTTTTTTATTTTGTGCGAGTATTTGAATATCTTTCGGAAATGAGGACAATTTTTGGCAATGTTTACCATATTGGTTGAGTGATAACGGCTTGCATACAAAATTGTGCATTTTAAAATTTTTTATTTTATTTTATTTAAGTCGTGTATTAAAGCTTTAAGTGAAATGGTGCTTGCTGTTGTTGTTAATTGGTATAGGTCATGCCGAAATAAGGTCCTAGCAGACAAGTTAGGGCAAGTGTGTTTCCAGCTTTAATTTTTTTAAGTGGGTTGGCAACTCTATTAAAAAATATTTTCAATTGAAGGCTTCAGAAACACATACAAGAGGCCTTTCGTTAGCTCCCATTTAATAATATTTTGCTTGGTTATCGACGGGAGGTAACTCTATTACAAAATATTTTTAAAACAAAAAAAAACTGATTTCGGCTGCACCTTAGCTAAATAAAATTAAAAATAAATAAATAAAACAAAAATTCAACACAAGAACATGATTTTGATCGGTCAGTTTGTATGGTAGCTACTATACGCTATACTGGTCCGATATCAGTTCCGGCAGATAAGCAGCTTCTTAAAGAAAAAAGGTCGTGTGCAAAATTTCAGATAATAATCCCAAAAACTGAGGGACTAGTTTGCGTGTATATAGACGGACAGACAGACATTTCTATATATACCGAATACGGTCTTTGAGGTTTCCATCTGTGTGTTACTTACTTAGTGGCGAACTTCATATATATACACTATTCAAGGTATAAAAAAGACATTTCTTAAGCTCTATGTGTGGGTACTCATTTGGTAATACTGTAATCAATTTGTATCGTTTCGGTGGCAACTCTTTTCAAAATATCACAATTTAAAGCTTTCAAAAATATTTTCTCAAATTCTTTTTTTTATTTTTAAATATTATGCTCGGATTCATTTTCTAATATTTTGTTGAGTCTAACATTTTCTGATGGATGGTAACTTTATTCAAAATAATTTATTTAACCTAAACATACTCCGCAAAGTTGCTAGACAATTTTTTTTTTAATATAATATGTTCGCACAATGGTGTTACTCATTCATAGAACATTTGTATGCTCTGAAATTTTTTAAATTATTGGTTTCGATAAAATTAGAGATCCAGAAATAGTTTTAGAAAAGTATTATCTAGGCTTACTTATTTCAAAAATGTGGAAAAAGTGGAAACATTTTCGGATTGAAACAAGAGGCTTCGGGAACAATATATTATGAGATTTTAAAACTATTATTTAAATACTTGGTATGTTGAACTAACTGGGGATCGTTTTAAAAAAATATTTGGTTATCGCTTTTATTTAAGGAATTATTAAACTCACTTCATATGAATTTTTATACGCAGAGAACTTTTCGTGTCTCAAAAATTGGTAAAACTTAAAGACTTTCGCTTATTTTTGAGTGGAATCTTATAGTACTTAAAAAAGTTAATGAAAATTACTTGAGTAAATGCTTACGTAAAATATGACTACACTCGAACTAAACACTTTGCCAAATAAGTCACTAACCTCCGTTGCATATTACGTAATACAGAATACTCAATACTTGATGTGCCGTCAACGACAACGCCTACACAGCACGTCTTCAATGACATGCAAACAGTGAAATGAAGAACGAAAATGTTAGAATAAAAATATATTAATTTGTACTAAAACAATTTAGTACTAAAAACTTGGAAATATTTGGAGAGTTTAGTACTAGACACAATATACGATTAATGTTTAACGAAAGAAAAATGTTTAAAAATTTTCAAAACTGTTTGATCGCAAAGAGTTGTCAATTAAAAATCAAAATGAAAATATTAAGAAACGTTTTTGAATACCTTTCAAGACAAAAAGTCAAAAGCCCGTTCAATAAGTAAATATTTTTGTATTTTGAAGTTTTCAAACATACGAAGGAAGTTACAAAGTGACATTGTATAGCCGCCGGAAATGTCAGAACAGAAACAAGATGCTGAGAAAAAGAGTGTAGCCACAATACCCACACCACTAAAGTACGTATTCGGTGGGACGGCAGCAGTGGCTGCGGCTTGCGTGATGCATCCAATGGATTTGGTAAAAACACGCATGCAAGTTGCTTCTAGCGGGAGCGCCAAATCGTCCAGCGCCATTGGAGTGATGAAAATGGCGGTTAAAAATGATGGCATAGCTGGCTTATATAAAGGACTCAGCGCCTCGGTACTACGGCAGTCGATGTACTCCACCACACGCATCGGGGTATACACAAGTCTAACGGAATATTATCGCGAGTTGTATAAAACAGCGCCAACAGTAAATGCAACCGTTATGATGGCGGCCTTCGCTGGCGCGGTCGGTGCCTATGTCGGCACACCGGCCGATGTGGGCTTAGTGCGTATGATGACCGATGCCCGTCTGCCGCCAGCTGATCGTCGAAATTACACAAGTGTTTTTAACGCGCTCTCACGTATTAGCAAAGAGGAGGGTGTTCGGGCGCTTTGGCGTGGCGCCGTACCAACTGTGGGTCGTGCCATTGTCGTGAGCGTTGCACAACTGGCGTCTTACACACAATTTCGACATTTCGCAAAGTCACAGTTTGGAATGGGTGATGGCTTTAATTTGCATTTAGTGGCGAGCATTGGTTCGGGTCTGTTGACGGCGACCGCATCATTGCCTGTGGATATAGCCAAGACGCGCATACAGAATATGAAAATGATCGATGCCAAACCGGAGTACCGGGGTATATTAGATGTGCTGGTAAAGATTACGAGGAAAGAAGGCTTTCTGGCGTTGTGGCGTGGTTACACTCCGTATGTTTTACGTGTTGTGCCACAAACTATTTTGATTTTCATAATTTTGGAGCAACTCAATACAGCATACTTTAAATATGTCTTGGGTGAGGAGTATAAATCGAAAATTTAATTAACAGTTGCATGTTATTGTTCTTGTAATTTATGTGTGTACTTATGTATGTGTGTAAGTGAATTTGTGGCTGTGTTAAGTGTGAAAATATATAATGTTGACTTTCCAAGTGTCTTTCTTTTCTGAACTATATTTGCTATACCTCTTATATTCTTACTGTATAAAATAGAGCAGTGTTGCTAAGGAAGTATGTCCTGTTTGTGTAGAAAGCCTCTAAAACTTTCTCTTTACCCTTATCAATCAATTTTCTTTTAATATTAACTTTTAGTATTAATTTTAATTTTAATATTAGTTTTAATTTTAAATTTAAATTTTATATTTTATATTTAATTTCAATTTTTATCATTTTAATTTTAATATTAACTTAAATTTTCTTTTATTTATAATTTTAAGTCTAAGTTTAAGTTTAAGTTTATGTTTAAGTAGAAGTTTAAGTTTAAGAATAAGTTTAGGTTTAAGTTTAAGGTTAAGTAAAAGTTTAGGTTTAAGTTTAAGTTTAAGTTTAAGTTAAAGTTAAAGTTAAAGTTAAAGTTAAAGTTAAAGTTAAAGTTTAGTTTAAGTTTAAGTTGAAGTTGAAGCGGAAGTTTAAGTTTAACTTTAACTTTATCGTTGGCAACAAAATAATAAAATATGAATATATTTAATATTTAAATAATGTAAAACAAACACGAAATGCCCCACTGTCATCAAACGTCATCGCCACTACACGCTACTGTATTGCACTGCTGCGTGTGCGTCCTCACGATTGACTTGTTTATGATTATGAGTAAGAATTATTTCACTTCATTCACTTCATTGTCTTTTCTTTATGTTTTAAATTGTTGCTATACACTCATTGTTATTGTTGTTGCTTAAGTTCAAAATTACATTTAGTTGTGTTATTTACTTGCTTGTTGTTAGCCATATTTTAACTTAAACTTTTTGTTGCCAAATATCCGCAGGGCAAATGAAAAAAAAAAACTGTGATAAAACAGAAGCAAGTGAGCAGAAGAGAAAGAATTGTAATATACGTACATACATATACACATGTATGTGCTTTTGCGAGCATTTTTTGCATGCCAAATAAAGCGCACTTCATAAAAATTCAATTCAGTTCCCAATTGCTTTGGTGTACTCGCGTGTACCCACTCGTACGCGGCACCAGCTTGTCGGCCTGCAAGTGTTTTCAGAAGGTTACCGTTGTGTACGAAAAGGAGCAGCTGTTGCTACTGCAAACTTGTACATACATACATACAAATGTATCAGATAGTCTGCGAGCACTATGGCGCTGCCATGTTGTGGGTCTATGGAGCTTGAGAGTTGTGCCGTATTCGGCGTTGAGCCGCTTTAAAAGTTCGCTTCGTTTCGGGCTGCACTTAAGCGGATTAATGCAAATTGAGTTAACACTTTTGACTTGCCATGCAATCATTTTATGATTTCTTGCCACTTTTGGCATTAAGCATAATAATTATTAAATAATTCACTCTACGATCTCGCTGGAGAGTGCTGAGTGTTGAGAATAATTCAAATGTGGCATGAAGTTACAATTGCTGGTGGAGATACCATGTATAAATTTATTATAATTTATATTCAAGCACGTTTTTAATACAAACATTTTTAGCAAATTTATTGCTTAAATAAGGCATACATATTTGTACTTACCAGACCCATATGTACATACAAATTGAATAATAGCAAGTTTTCTGCACTTTTTCTCTTTAGAAGAGAAAATTAATTATCTAGATAATTACATGCGAAAAAACATATTGGTGGCTTTAGCGCGTTTAACTTACGGTACAAGTATAAGAGGAGAATTGCAAAGAAAAGTTTAGTCCACGAAAAAATTTTTTATTCAAATAAATAAATATGTTTCTGGAATTTGTTCCTTAATTTTTTTTGTTATAAATATGGAAAAAATTATGCCAATATATCTACGTGATTCTGACACACCCACATACCATTTAAATAAATTCAAAAAATAATAATATTTAATTTCAATATACAATATTCTATACTAGAATTAAAACATTTAAGGGCATCTCTGTGAGAGAGTAGGGAGAGAGTTCAGTTAAATGTATTGTTATCGAAATAAAATCCAAAAAGCACTTGTCATATCAGCTTTTATAACAAAAGTATTGAAATTTTGACGATATTTTGTAGTTTTGTAGTTTCCTTTTGGCTGTTAGAAACTTCGTGGCAAACATAATATATCCTGTCAGGGTATAATAAAGATGAATACAACTGAACTTCTAACTGACAGAATTTAGAAACTTAGCCACCTATCTTTGGGTAATTGCAACAAATGTGTTTAGAAGCTTCAATATGACCTCAGAAAATAGAGTACATATTTTTAAGGCACAAACGTTTTCACAATTGTTAAAAATATCTTGAATAATATTTTAGTCGAAATTAAAGAACTTTTTGTAACACACCTTCCGTAAGCATAATCTACTTGAATTAATAAATTTTTTGACCGAAAATCAGTTTCAACAAACCCACTGTAAAAGTCAGCGTAAAACCCGTTCAACGTACGGTGTTTGAGAAATCAATTTGTGTCGAAAAACAACCCGTTATATGCCATATTTATTTAAAACAACCGTACCGTATGAATTAATATAAAAAAAAAATAAATTAAAATAAAAATCAAATTGGTAGCAATGACCTACCTTTGGTACTTCAGCATGGCGCGTGGCAGCAGAAAACTCCCATTCTCCGACACCTCAGTTGCGCTACCCTTCTTCGCATGCACCGGCACTAGTTCTTCGGCTGGCGCGATGGCACTTCCTCCACTGCCACCCTCTACGCTGGTGCATTCCACCTCCGGCGATGGTGACGCATTGCGCGAACGCACCAAACGCACACCGAAGCGTTGCATATACGTGTAGGTCAGTTCGCTGGAATGTTGCGGGCGACACATATAGCCCACAGCATCACCATCATCCACATCGTCAGCAACGCTGCTGCGTAAGCTGTGCTGACTGCCGCAACCGCTGCTGCGGCCGCTACTGCTGCTGTGTTGAAAACTGCTGCATGTGCTCGGTGTCGACGAGGCGAGGGACGAGGTGCCGCGATAAGTCGTTTTAAGCGTATTGTGTGGTTTTTGTAATTGTTGTTGTTGCAATTGTTGATTCTGACTATTGCTGCCACCAACAACGGACGGCACTTTTGTGGCAGTGATTGCGTTTGAGTGCGTTGCAACAGCAGCAGCCGCAACACCGCCCACCTTATGGACAATCTTCTCCTCCATGGCTTCGATGTCCTTGTCGTAAGGTTGGATTGCGTCGAAATTGTATGAGTTGAAGTAGGCTTGCTCGCGTGTGCGCTTCATTTTGGCAGCCTCTGAGGCATAGTCATCGAATTCGGCGGCGTTTTTTGTCGCCTGCGCGGGCTTGTTGCAAATGGGCATTTTGTTGGTAGTGACGGTGGCGCTGGTGGCGATGGCAGTGTTGTTGTTGTTGTTAGGCGTTTCGGTGCGCGGGGGCGTACCCTCAGCTGCTATGTGACACGGCGGCTCTGGCTATGATTGTGGCGGCGGCGCCTGCTTTAGTTGCGCGTTGGCAGTGACTGCGGCGTGCGGGCGTTTTGAACACAGAGTTGGTGGAAATTTTATTAATGTTTTTGTTGTTGCTACAGCTATTGGCAAACAGTTTGGGTTGCGCGTTTAACTGCAATTAAATATTTGAAAGAGAAAAATATGGAAATTAGAAAATATTTCGCAAATATATTATATTTTCTTAAATTTTTACTTAGTAGCGTGACGCGCGTGGCGGCAGCTCGTTAATGAACATTTTTATACATAAAGTAAGTAAATAATATATATATTTGCCAAATTTTCGCTTTGTTATCATTGAAAATCATTCTTTTTTTCGCTAATGCCTTTCATTCATTTCACTTAATTGGCCAGCTGCGCGTTGGCACCTTACGTTTGTGGCCAAGCGGCTTAGCGTGTGTGCGTTTTTATTGCAGCATTAGCGTGCTCCAAACCGCTAATGCTGTTGGCTACAAAATCCCGTTCGGCGTGCAAAACGTCCGCCTGCCGTTGAGTCAGTTTTTGTTCGGATTTCAGCAAGCGCTTCTGAACTGGTTTCGCCCGAAATGGATTGTAAGCCCAGAATGTGCACAATTGCCAGCAGCGGCTAGTGAAATGAGTAAGCGCATGCGCACGTACATACACACCTACCTATGGCGTATACATAATACCAAAAAAAAACATATAGTTTGTATGTATGTATGTACACTAACATCATCTCACGCCTGTGCTATTTATTATGTTTAATTGAATTTTTTGCGCTTTTAACTTTTCAGCGAGCGTGTGCAATGCCAGTAAAACGGATATGGTTAACTTCCCATAGACGCTGGGATTTTGTAATTTATGCGTTCGCTTTTGCTATTTGGCTCTGTTATTTGCATGCAGAATATATTTTTGTTGCGTTTTTAATATCTTTACTCTAGTTTTTTTTTGTCTCTATTCCACATACAAGACTGTGTTTTGACTTTGGGGTAGTAGGATTGTGTTTGAATATGGTATGCAAAGAGTTTTATCTGTTTTTTAAGTGCTTTTACTTCTAATTTTGAAATTTATTGGCTTTCATTAATAAATGTATAATACAAAGACTCGGTGTTATTAGCAGTACTTATGGAAAATTAATTGCATTAACTGTATATATTTTTTTAAATATATTGTATAAAATGATTAATATAATCTTTCAGGATTGTCACATGTTAGAAAACAATTATAAAACGAAAAATTATTAGAATTTGGTCGAGTAAATTAAATTCTTTTAATTTAAGAGAAAACAAACAAGCCGCTTAGTGTGAGATTCAGTATTTAAAATATTATATTTTCAAAAAACAGCAAATTGAAAACAAAATTGCAAAATGCTAAAAGATATCAAATATGCAAAGTGTTTATACAAATAAGTCATATATTTAATATTGGCCTCCAAAATTTCGATGCGATAAATTTTCTTAAAATTATCTATATAAAAGTAAGATAAATTAATGTAACGATACTCAGATACTCGGACCATACAGACCCTGTATCCACTTTTGTAATAAAGATTTGATGAACATTTTTCCATATTAGAAAAATGCTCTCAGACTCTTAATATTATTTTTCTCAATTTTACTTCGCCACCATTCCGATTTAAACCTAGCACTCTCTGCACTCAACAGTCTTTGTTATGGTAGCCGCGAGTGTGTAGAATGAGATAAATTTTGAATTGAAGCTTTATAGCTTAAACATAATACGGGCTTCGACGAATATTCGTCGTACTCGGCGAAGACATCGGACGAATTTTCGCCGAGTGTTATCGCCGTGTAAAACACAATACGGACGATTTTCGTCGCAACTAGTGTGTATTCCGCGCTAAAAATATCATAATTAATGACAAAACCAAACATAAACAATCTTTATATTGCCAAAGCGGACATTTTCTTTGTATTTTTTTTCGAAAATTCTTAAGGTTTTTACTGAAAATCACCTCTTTTTGATATGGTGATGCCGTTTTTGCCGCCGCGGTCGGCGATAAAATTAGAAAAACCTCTATCTCAAAAAACGTCATGGTGGACGAAATTCCCCGCCGTCGTGTATTGTGTTGATCTTCATATTCAAACGTGTGTTCTAATCACCGACGGCGTCGCCAAGTACGACGAATATTCGTCGTCGCCCATATTGTGTTTAAGCTATTAATGGCTATTTTTATGACTCGTTGTGACTCAATCTCTTTTTTACCATACATATGACCAGTGAAGGAAAGAGGGTGGATATGGAGCACAAGTCCTCTTGAGCCAGGAGTTCCCAGTGGGACCTGATGCTCTGCAACAATATTTGGCAGATTTTGTTCTCCAAAAATTCATTACAATTACCACCGGATCCTGTTTATGACTAATTCTGTATCATCCCTATATATTGTATAGAAAATATATAAAGTTTCATATAATTTTTGCAATTTGATCAAAGAATCGGTAGGGTTAAGGCCTAACAAAGAATATAAGAAATTACAAGAAATTATAAATTTGTATTTTGTTTCTAAAAGTTTTAGGGTATGTTGAACTTTTTAGTTTGTTAATGGGCCATTAAATCATTTAAAGAAAGAGTACTAGTTACACAAAATATAAATATAATATATTATATTATACCGTTATTAAATAAAACAAGAAAAAATATTTACTTTGGTTGGTCACAAATACAGAAGATTCCATACAAGAAGTTCATTTGATCGGTCAGTTTGTATGGCAGCTATACGCTATAGTGGTCCGATATTGGCGGTTCCGACAAATGAACAGCTTCTTTGCGAGAAAAAGACTTGTGCAAAACTTCAGGTGGTTATCTCAAAAACTGTGGGACTAGTTTGCTTATATATAGAAAGATGGACGAAGGAACGGACGGACGGACAAACGGACATTGCTAAAGCGACTCAGCCCACCATGCTAATCACTTATATACATATATTTTTTATAGGTTCTCCGACGCTCTTGGGTATTACTAACTTTATGTCAAACTTATTATACAAATACAAGCATATTGTACTTTAAAATTACCTATATCAATATATATTTCTACAAAGAGTTGTTATATATTATTTAATAATAATAATTTTTGGAAAAATTGTAAAAGGATTCGTAGCAGAAGTGGTTAACTTTTAATACTTTCTGCAAATTATTTTTTCTTGTTTTAGTTCCTCTTTACCTCCTAAAAAATTACATTAATAACATTCCTTACATTTTTTAAATATTCATTATAAATAAATATATTTTAATTACAACTAATTAGGAACAACAAAAAACACAAAATGCTTCCATATACTCAAACAGATCTACGAAGCTTTATTAATTGAAATTTTTTATGATTTTATTAGACTAAGTTTAAATTTGATTGCCACCTTTTATGGCTGCCGGAGTCAGTTGTTGACATTTTTTTTTGCATGTAATTAGCATTTTAATTGCACTTTCTAGCATTAACATAACAGTAATTGTTGCAAAGCATTCAAAGCTCCAAGCTGCGTTGAGCTGGTGTTGATTAGAAAAAAATTAAGCCAAACAAATGACAAAAAAAAGATGAAAAAACAACAAAAGAAACAAGCAAATGCAAACTGGTTGTTATGAATTGGACAACTTTTCAGGCTCAAACGGGCATTTTTTATTTACATACATACATACATACACATATAGGGTATATAGTACACATGTGGCGAGCCCAATGTCCGGTTCAAGAATGAATTATACCTAAGATATAAACACAATTGATTTTCAATGAAACAGCAAACTTGTATGGCAAAGTAAATTACTTGATTATGCAATAAATTTTACGTCAGATCCTGGGAAAGTTGCTGACAGCGGTTTAGCTGTATTTGCTTGGGTATTTTTTGAAATAATTTGAGTAATGCTGTGAATTTTCCATCTCTCAAGCGGATTTGCAGAACTTTTGTAGATAGAAAAGAATGTGAGTGCGTTTTTTAACATTTTTATACCCTGAACAGGGTATGTACAGTTTGCCACGAAATCTGTAACACCGAAATGAAACATTAAGGACTTTACAAAACATTTATATCGATGATCAGCATGACAAGCTGAGTAGATTTAGCCATGCCTGTCCGTCCGTCTGTCTGTATACACGAGGACTAGTCCCTCAGGTTTTGAGATAATGATCTTAAATTTCGCACACGTCTGTTTCTCTCAAAGAAGTTGCTAGTTTGTCGGAACCGTCGATATCGGGACACTATAGCTTATAGTTGCCATACAAACTGATCGATCAAAATTATGTATATAAAACTTTTTTATTTGACAGAAATTCTTCTCTTTGGCTTGACTTATTTTTTAAGGCAATAACACCATCTCTGAAGACATTGTTCATATTTGACTAATGTATCATTTGGCTGTCATACAAACTGACTAATCAAAATCAAATTCTTGCATGAAATCTTTTGCATTTGTGAAGAGTATTATAGTTTCGGTGCAAGCGAAGTTAAGGTTTTTCTTGTTTTCATAGAAATTGATCTTAGTCTTCATGGAATTTTTAATCTCTTTACGTATGGTAAATACCATAGAACTGTTGTTTTTAAGATGGTCTAGGTCTAGGTCTGGTAATTTGCAATGGATGGGTCATTATTTTTCCAATAGATGGCGTTAGAAAGATAAGATTTCATATAAAAAAATATTTCCGGCAGTTATTTGATTGCTTGTTTTAATATTGTTAGAGCACGCGTCAAAAATGGAAACCAGCAAAGAGAAAATACGTCATATTTTATAGTTTGTCTTCGATAAAGGCGAAAAAGTAAGGCAGGTGGCTGAAAGTGTGAATAGTGTTTTTGGTTCTGATACTGTAAGATCCAATCATACGAAATTTTAGTTTCCTCGATTCCATTCCGGTAATTTTGACGTAAAAATGCACCAGGCTCTGAAAAGCCAGTTTTCGAAAATATCGATAAAATAATGGATATAGTCGAGTCCGACCATCATGTAAGCACTGTTTCGAATGCCCAATACGACTGGATATAAAAAAAGGCTCGATGAATGGGTACCACATGAAGGAATGCAAATCCCCTCATGGACCAAATTTACAACTGCGAATCGCTACCGAATCGGAACAAAATCGATCCATTCCTGAAGTAGATGGTTATTGGAGATGAAAATTGGGTTGCTTACAACAACGGTCAAGCCAAAA